CATAGCTAAGGAAAGCACACAAGCTCATGTGCATACACACATGTACTAAATAAAATGTAATAAGGGAAGTGCATACATGTAAATTTATTGTAATAGTTATGAGTATAAGCTTTGCTAAGATAAGAAAACAAAGAAAATAATGTAGCAAACCCAATCAAATCTGTAACTGCGAATAAACTGTTCAGTAATTGATAATTCATTTATTTATTAAAAATATTTGCTGACAGAAATAACGGGTGTGTGAATACTAATGTAGATGTCTTGTTCATGGAAGATCTCGCCAACAGAGTGTTATTTAATAGGCTATAAATGTAGCTCAGCTGGTAAAGTGTTTGCCTACCGTGCCTGAAGGCCTGGCATATATACCTATAATCCCAGAACTCAGGAGGCAGAGGCAGGAGGATCAGAAACTCAAGTCCAACCTCAGCTGCACAGCGGGTTCAAAGCCAGCCATACATGCGACCTGCCTTAAAACAAAAGACAAAATTTTCATGAGTTATCTCTGCAGAAAGAACATGCTAGGAGGGGAGAGGACCACATGCAAATTCCAGAGTAGGGATTCACGTGTCTACCTGCACCCTAGGAGGGGAGAGGACCACATGCAAACTCCCAAGTAGTTTGTCTACCTGCACCCAATGAAATGCTCAAAACCTCAGGCTGCACACAAGCCCCCAAAGACTGATGTGTTTTATGTATGATGCACTTCTCATACTATAACATACATCAATCGCTTTAGGGGAGGGTGGGGATGCTAATAGGCAAAATAAAGGTGCCCAACAAAGTCCTGACAGTTCCAAGAGAGGTGAAACTTCGGAATGACGAAGCCATTTTAATATGACTGGAGGGCCAGTTGTCAAGAGGTTATATCAGTCCTAAATACCCATGAAGGACCACTTGTCATCTGCGTATTTAACAATAGAGTGTTTAAAAAAAAATGCACCAGGCAAAACCCCAGCCGAAAATAAGGAAATTTACTATTACACCCTGACATGCAACACCCCGCTTTTAATAAATGACAGAACAAGTACTCAGAAAAGCCAGTGAAGATACAGAAGACTTGGGCATTATCAGTCATTGTGATCTGTGAGACAAACTCTGAGAACATCTATGCACACAGCCCATCTTCTGGGCACTGAGACAAGCTGCAAAAAAAGACTTGGAATAATTTGTTGTATGTTCCCTGACACACTAGAATTAGAGACCCAGAGCAGAGAGATCTTCGGGAAAGTACCAAATTCTTAAAAACTAAGTCACATACTTCTAAAGAACCTACGGTCAGAGAAGAAATCTAAAGGGAAACTAGAATTTGATAGGATTAGAAATTAAAACATAAGCCAGGTATATAGTGGCTCATGTCTTTAGCCCACCCAGTGCTTGGGAGGCAGACGTAGGCAGATCTCTGTGAGTTGAAAGCCAGTTTGGTTTACAGAGTGAGTTCCAAAGAAAGTTAAAAAGGGAGACCTTGTCTTGGAGGGAGGGAGGGAGGGAGGGAGGGAGGGAGGGAGGGAGGGAAGGAAGGAAGGAAGGAAGGAAGGAAGGAAGGAAGGAAGGAAGGAAGGAAGGAAAGAAACATATGATGTTACAATTTGTGGGGCACAGCTAAAGGAGTAATTCAGAGAATTTTATAGCACTAAATGAATATCCAAGAAAGAAAAAATGACTTGAAGCATCAGCATCTGCTTACATTTCAGGCAGTTCTAACAAAGTGGAGCATAGTGTTGTGTCACTGAAGCTCAGGTACTTGGGAGGCAAAGGTGGAAGGATCACTGAGCCCAGGAGAATGCGACTAGCCTGGGCAGAACAGCAAGACACCCCTTTCCAAGGACATGAGAACAAGAGAAACTTACATCTAAAGTAAGTAAAGGAGAAAGAATAGTAATGAGTGAAAAATCAATGGAACTAAACGAGAATAATCAATGGGTGTAAGTGCTGGCTCTTTGAGAAAATCAATACTTATGAAACCCAACCCTGCCTGATCAAGAAAAGGAGAAAGAAAAAGGTACAAATTACTAATATCAGGAATGAAAGATGACATCACTGTAGAATTTACAAGTTGTAAAGATTATAAAAGAATATTACAAGCACCCTTATGGCAATAAATTTGTCAATTCTGATAAACAAAACAATTTTTTAAAAGTCACCCACTACCCGAGTTCACTGAAGACTAGCGATGACTTAATGACCCTATGTCTGTTGAGGGTATTTAGCTGACAGTTTAGAAGCTACTCCATAAAGCTTGCAGTCCAGATGGTCTTGTTGGTGAATTCCACTGAATGTATACAAAAGAAATTAAAAGAGGCTTACTGAAACTTTCCTAGAGAATTGAAAAAGAAGGGTTAATTTCTGACTTGTTCTAGAAGGCCAGCATTACTTTCATACTAAAGTTAGATAAATAAATTATAATTTTTTAAAAAAATGGTCTAATATCCCTCGAGAATACAAGTAAAACATTTCTGTATCAAATTCTGTCCAACTGAAGCCAATGGCATATGAAAGGGCAATTCATCAGAACCACGTGCTGTTTATTTCAGGGATGAAAAACTAGTTACACATTAGGGAAAGAGCCAGCAAAGGCTCTGTGTACCTGCTACCAAGCCTGACGACAGAGCTCAACTTCCAGGACCCACATGGCGGAAGGAGAGAATGGGTCCCCCCAAGTTGTGCTCTGACCTCCACATACAGGCTGCAGCACACGCCCCAATCTCCCCCAAGACCCATACTAAATAAAAGTAATTAAAATGTTTTTAAAAATTGAGGGAAAACCTCAACATAATTTACCACATTAGCAAACTAACAAAGAAAAGCCATGGGATTATCTCAGCCAGAGAAGGCATTTGACAACACCCGACAGCCGCTCCTGATTGAAACCGGCTGCAAACCAGGGAAGGGAGCCTCCTTGACCTGACAAAGGGCATCTCCACCAAATAAATCTCCAGTTAACATCAGACTGATGCCAAGAGACTGAACATTCCCCTTAGGAACAAGGCACAGATTCTGTTCTTATTCTGCCACTCAGCACAATACTGGAGGCTTTAGTCACTGAAATAAGGCAAGAAAAAGAAATTAAAAAAAACATTGATTGAAAAGGAAAAGATAAAACTGCCTTCACCACCATGATACATAAAAATCAATTATATTGGAGGATCAGGAGGCACAGGGAAGGCAGTGAGGGGAAAATGGATTTGAGTAAAATATAATGACATATATGTGTAAAGTGCCACAATGAAACCCATTACTTCATAGTTAATGTGAAACTAATTTTAAAAATTAGAAATCATAGCCAGGCGGTGGTGGTGCATGCCTTTAAATCCCAGCACTTGGGAGGCAGAGGCAGGCACATTGTGTTTGAAGCTAGCCTGGTCTACAAAGAGAGATCCAACAAAACAAACCCAAAAAATTAGAAGTAGTCTATACTGATATATTCTAGCAGCAAACAATTGAAGCTGAAACTTAAAACATTTATCATAGCATCAATGCAGATGTATAAGTATAAGTATAAACCTAACAAAATGTACATAAGAGACCTATGTCTTCAGAAGCACAAAACAATCGAGAGATCAAGGAAGACCTAAATAAATGGAGAGGGACAGTGTTCACAGGTTAAAAGGCTCAGCATTGTCAGCTAAGACATCTGTTCTCAGAACTGAGGACATGGTTCAGGGCTGTCAGTTGCCTAGCATGTGTTACGGGTCAGTACCAAACACTACAAAAATTCCTTCAGGTTGTAACAAATTCAACACTATCCCAAACAAAATCAGAAATTAACACTGAGTCTATAATTCATATATTCATTCACATGGCTTCAATTGCTAAGTTATCATAGAGCTATAACTGTTAAGGCAGTGGCGATTTGTCTAAAGTCAGACATCCAGACCAAAGACAGATTACACAGGAAACTGGTTCTCACTATTGGGACAAAGTCAACTGGGAGCTGGAAGGAAGAATATCTTTAACAAGGAACCCTGGAAGATCTGTCCCACCCCCGTGCCACATGCAAAGTGTACAGAATGGAACAAAACGTAAATGAAAAACCCAAACACTTCAGCTTCCAGGAGAAACCATGAGAAATACAGCTGTGACCTTGGGTTAGGCAAAGATTTCTTAGACAAAATACCAAAAGTACACTCTGTGAAAGAACGAATAAACTAGACGTCATCAAAACAGAAACGTCTAGTCTTTGAAAGGAACTGTTGGGAGGATGGAAAACAAGACACAGACTGAGAAAAATATTTGCATTTATCTGAAAGAAACTTGTAAGTCAGCAGCTTTCCAAGCTCTCCTCCTAGACCAGCACCCTGTGATTAATGAGCCTGGCTCAGGAAGAGACTTGGGCAATAGAGAATCATGGCCAGCAGGAATCTAGCACGGGGGTCTCCAGCTTCAACAATCCCTACAGGGTGTGCTAAAACCAAGTCATTGCCCTCCACCCTTGGAGTTTCAGAATGAGAAGGGGTCTGGATTCACATCTCTAGGAAGCTCCTTGACCACCACACTTTGAGAAACCCTAATTTTGAACAGAGCAGAAATACAATGCCAGATGCAAGCTCTCCCAACAAAGGGGCACTTCCTAGGTACACTCTGGTTAGTAAGAAATCAGTTTTCATGTATTGTGAGAGCCTCCTATTCTTGGGAGACCTTTCTCAGTTTTCCTTAATAAATCTAAAAAGAGAAAGCTTCTTTTTTATTAGTTTGAAACTTCTGTATCTGCTCATCAGAGCTTCTGCTTAAAGAAGCAACTCCCATACAGGCGTTTCTGAGCTGGCAGGATTCTCCCCAGCCTCTTCTTTCATGGTCCGCTTTCGTTACCACTAAGGTCTTTGAGCACTCTACCAGGACCAGATCTCTATCTAGAATTCCCCCTGGATGCTACGTACTGCCTTACAGCAACCATCCCATAATATCAGCAAGCAGGAAACCATGTTGCCCCACTTAAGCCTATCACATTTCCCTGATTCTCCCCATGGTAACCCACCCCATGCAAGGCTGACATCAGGTCTCACCATCCAAAATGGCCCACTGATTGTCAATCTCCGTATGCTTCAGGTACGAGTCTTCAATGGTGGGGTCGTAGTCAGGCACAAAGATCTTCTGGAAAAACTGGATGGTGAGGGCGCTCTTGCCCACACCTCCATCTCCCACTACTACTAGTTTATACGTGGGGAGGTTGTCACTGGGTACAGCGCTGGTAGCCATGCTTCTGGTAGCCACACCTAGGGAAGAAAGACACACAGGATGAGGGAGGGATCTCTTTCTTTTGAACTAGGGAAAAAATAATCATGGGCTTTCTTTCCTGAATTTGAGAAAATATTCATGGGAACAAAATCTCCCAAAGGTCAATTAGAAAGTGAAACAAGGCAAAACAATGTGAACATGCCATGTGTGGTCCCACTACTCAAAGATAATCACCGTTCCAATGAAGGGGGGAGGTGCTCTGAGCGGAGCAGGGATAGAAGACACACACCTTTCACGCCACCGCCTATCAACTACAACAATTCCAATATTATCAGTCTGAATGCCCTGCTGAGAAAGACCTCAGGCTGTTGAGCCAGGAGGACAGAGAGGCTGTGCAAATTCAGCATGCCTGTGCTCTGGGAGGCCCTTTCCAACCCAAATCTGCCATCCTGTCCTTCCATCTTCTTGTACTTTATCATGCTGAAGTCATGCCAGCATTAAAGGGAATCTGTCCATCCCTTTAAGCTGGGACAAAGAAGGAAGGAGCAGGTATTGTAGTGGTTCTCAGCAGGAGCGGTTCTCTCCCCCACCAGGATCTCTGCGATGCTGGGATGTTTCAGGGTATCACCAAGGGGGCAGAGGCAGGGAAGCCTCTAGAAAGCACAAGCCGGCCTTCCCCAGCAAAGACCTGTGGGGGCTGAGAAGCTCCCCACTAAGGCAGGCGATAGAGCTGGAAATGGGGGCCCAGGGTTCTGAAGAATGATAGGACCTTCCCAGGCTAAGACTGATCGTGAGGAGGTTACAGAGAGCTGAGTGACCTTGGGAAATGCTGTCACAGAGTGCCCAGAAAGAGAGGCAAATGGGGGTCATGGAAGGTGCACTCAGAAAGCCAGGAAGGAACCCAATGGAGTGCTATCCGTCAGCAGCCAGCTGTGGGCTGGCAGTCAATGTCACACACCGGTGAGGGAAGGACACTTTGTAAGGGCCAGAGGTGGTAGCTGGCTCCAAGGAATAGATTTTCCAGACACAACAGTTGCACACATGAACTCTGCACAAGATGGGCACAAGCCCAGGCCAGGCCAAAGCCCAGTGCGGACCAAATTCCACCACTAGCGAGTTGCCACTGGCCACTGGCTACAAGGAGGAGAGTCAGCTTTCTGATTAGTTAGCCACACACTGGGGCAGACTCCATGCCCGAAAGTAGCTGGGTAACACAAACTGGACTAGACAGAAGAAAAGGAGGAGACGCTCAAAGTTGGGTGGTAGGGAGGTGAGGGTAGGGAGGGTAAATGTGGGAGGAAATAGGAGAGGCGGTGAATGGTGAACATGATCAAGATGCATTGCATAAAAATATTCTGAAAAGAACAATTAGGAATGCTAACAGGGACAAAAGCAACCCACTGAAGATCCTGGCAGGGCTCGTAGGCCACTCCCAAGCAGCATAAAAACCAATCCTGGGGGAGCAGACGCTTGCTGCTATCTCTGTACAGATGAAAACACCCCAGTGCTGCGCTGGGGAAGAGAGAGGCTCAAGGGGTAGCTGGTAAAGAGGGCAGGAAATAGCATAACCCAGAGGACAAGGGCTTGGGGTTCCTGCGGCTACCACTGTGTCCCCCCCACCCCCACCCCAAAGCATAGTTTTCCTCTATACCAGACTAGCAGCCAGTTTGAGAGGTATTTATAATTATTTTCGACTCTACAAGATCTTCAACGCTAGGCTGCGACACAAAGGGTGTTAACAAAAATGTGGGCTGTGTGGCCATGTTGATTTGCATGTGGCTGAAGGCCAGCGCTGTTGCTGGAGCCTCCCCAGTCACTGAAACCTGATGTTGACATTTCGGACTCCCCCAAAGTGTGGGGGAAGTACAAGCTTTTCTGCAGGCAGGAAGAATATAAATCTGTCAAAGCTGGGCTGAGAACAGGCTTTCAGAAATGGATCAAAATTAAAAAGGGGCACGCCCTCTAAAGAGTTAAAACATTCTGTCAGGTGAGACTTTATTGCAAGGAAAAAGTCTAATCGGGGAGCGTCACAAAAACGTTAGGAATGGGGAGATGGAGGTGTGAATAATCCAAATGTTGGGGGAGGTGGAAGGGGGGAACAGATACACGTAGCAACCAGTTAACTGACTGGGTGCAGTGGTACACACCTTTAATCCCCAAACTGGGGAGGCAAAGGCAGTAGGATCACAAGTTCAAGCAAATGTGGGATACATAGCAAAACCTTCTTGCATATGCATGCATGCATACATACATACATAGAAACAAAACCAAAACAGGATGCTTAACAAACCTAGAAAAAGATTTGTACTATATATGGAAAAACACCAGACCTCTGAACAGCAAAGGTATAGGGCCACTATTACAGGGAGGCATGCATACATGACTGTCCTGGCCCAGAGGTGGAACCCAAAACAGCAAGGTTTGTAAGGTGGCTATTCCAAAATCAGACTGCAGGGCTCTTCGATTTCCTGAGTCTGTTTTCCATCTTTCTCTCTGTGTGTCTCTCTCTGTCTCTCTCTCTCTCTCTTTCTCTCTCACATACACACACACACACACACACACACACACACACACACCTGCTCATTAATACAGTCAACATTCTTAGCCATGAATTCTATATTGACAGATTCAAATCAACTATGAGTTGTAAATTATTGAAAATTTGGCAATCTTATCAAAAGCAATCTACAGATTCAAATGCAATGCCCATCAAAATCCCAGCAAAATTTTTCACAGATCTTGAAAGAACGGTACTCAACTTCATATAGAAAAGCAAAAAACCCAGCATAGCCCAAACAATTCTGTACAATAAAAAAACTTCTGGAGGCATCACAATCCCTAACTTCAAACTCTACTACAGAGCTACAGTACTGAAAACAGCCTGGTATTGGCATAAGAACAGACAGGGGGACCAATGGAACCAAATCGAAGACCCAGATATCAATCCACACATCTTCAAACACCTGATATTTGACAAAGAAGCAAAAAAATCAAATGGAAAAAAACTTAAGACTACTTAACGAATGGTGCTGGCATAACTGGATATCAACATGTAGAAAAATGAAAACAGACCCATATCTAACGCCATACACAAAACTCAAGTCCAAAGGGATCAAAGACCTCAACATAAAGCCAGCCACACTGAACCTCATAGAAGAGAAAGTGGGAAGTACACTTGAATGCATGGCATAGGAGACCACTTCCTAAATATAACCCAAGCAGCACAGACTCTGAGAGAAACAATTAATAAATGGGACCTCCTGAAACTGAAAAGCTTCTGTAAAGCAAAGGACATGGTCAACAAGACAAAATGACAGCCTACAGAATGGGAAAAAATATTCCCCAACACCAAATCAGACAGAGGTATGATTTCCAAAATATAAAAAGAACTCAAGAAATTGGTCATCAAAAAAACAAATAATCCAATAAAAAAAAATGGAGTACAGACCTAAACAGAAAACTCTCAACAGAGGAATCTAAAATGGCTGAAAGACACTTAAGGAAATGTTCAACATCCTTAGTCATCAGAAAATGCAAATCGAAACAACTCTGAGATTCCATCTTACACCTGTAAGAATGGCCAAGATCAAAAATACTGATGACAACTTATGCTGGAGAGGTTGTGGGGTAAAGGGAACACTTCTGCATTGCTAGAGGGAATGCAGGCTGGTACAGGCCCTTTGGATGTCAGTGTGGTGATTTCTCAGAAAATTAGGAAACAACCTTCCTCAACACCCAGCAATACCACTTTTGGGTATATATCCAAAGAATGCTCAATCGTGCCACAAGGACATGTGCTCAACTATGTTCATAGCAGCTTTGTTTGTCATAGCTAAAACCTGGAAATAACCTAAATGTCCCTCGACCGAAGAATGGATAAGGAAAATGTGGTACATTTACACAATAGAGTACTACACAGCAGAAAAGAATAACAACAGCTTGAATTTTACAGGAAAATGGATGGAGCTAGAAAACATCATTTTGAGTGAGGTAACCCAGACACAGAAAGACATCACATGTACTCACTCATAAGTGGTTTTTAAACATAAGCAAAGAAAACCAGCCCACAAATCACAATCCCAGAGAACTTAGACAATAATGAGGACCCTAAGAGGGACTTACATAGATCTAATCTACACGGGAAGTAGAAAAAGACATGATCTCCTGAGTAAATTAGAAGCATAGAAACCTTGGGGGAGGGTTAAAGGAGAGGGGAGCAGAAAAAAATGTAGAGCTCAAAAAAAATCAATAAAGAAATAAAAATAATAATTGAAAAATTTTGGGGGGGAGGAGTCTTGGCAATCTAAACCAGTCACCCAGATCTTTGTTGGTAAGGACAATGGAGAATCAGGTGCCTGTGTAGCTCCTAAGGATGGGCTGAAGGCCTTAGGTGGAAAGATCACAGGTTTTAACACAATTAGTTAGCAAAAGAGTGTTTCACCAGCCTCACCTGAAGCTGGCAGGCTCTGTCGATGGTAACTTGAGAACAGCCTGGGAAAACTGACAGCCCCTCAACCAAAACCAACCATCCTCCACCGTGAAACAGATCAGCAGGGAACAAAGCTCCTCTCTGGCTTCTGACCACACCTGTCTGGAAGGGAAAGGCGCATCCCCTCCAGTCCTCTAGACTGCTCGGCCAGCCTGGCTGATGCTGACGTCAGCGAGACGAGGCCTTGCGAAGCTGCTGCCCCTGACCTCCCTGCTCAGCCTTGAGACCTGCACTGGGAATATAATCTGCTGTACTCTTCTTCCAGCCTTCTCCCACAATACAGATATTAAATCTCATCATTCTTTTATTATTTATGTATGCTATATTAATAAAACATTTTTGCATGTGAAAACATCATTTGGGGCTGGCTCTGAAGCTTGGTTGGTGGAGTACCTGCTTAGCTGCACTAAAGCACTCTGGCCCCCAGAAGCATTAACTTAGCTGCACTAACCTTCTGGCCCCCAGAAGCTGGAGGCTGTGAGCAGGCTGGTAATTCCAGCACTGGAGAGGTGGGAGCAGGAAGATCAGAAGTTCAAGGTCATCTTTAGC